ATCACTTTGCACTATCTCCTTCCTCTTCTCCTTCATCTTCTCCTTCATCTTCTCACCTACAACCTTCTCTTTACCAACTTCCCATTGTGTTGAATCCACACGGCCAAGGAAGATGTCTTCGAACAAATTGTCGAGAAGCTTGATTCCAACTGATCCTTCCGGATACAAACCTTCTTCATCTGGCCAGAAAGGGTATATATCCTCTTCAGATCGCCAGGCCACATTAGTTATTGAAAGCTACATAAAGGATAAGTCAGTCAGAACAAAACTCTATGAGAACATAACATATTCTATGCAATAACTCTGTCACAACATACTAGTAGACATAATAGGAAATAAAAACATTTGGGATGTGTACAAAGTTTGAGAAGCACCTTTTTGTTAATTCGTTTCTCTGTGGCAAAAATTTCCCATATATCGATTCTTGGACGGCCTCCACTCCACTCCAACAATGGGACAACATCTTCAGCCTGAGTCTCATCTTCATCTGTCTTCTTTTTGTTTCCATACTTTTCCCCCAGCTTATGAAGACTCTCCATTGCCCATATCATAAGCACATGCACCAATCCGTGGATTGCATAACTGTCATTCTCATAGGACACCACTTTGATGGACTGAATGAGCTCTTTGAAACCAATCCTTCCCCAAGGCAATCTCTCAAAAACACCACTGTCCAGCACAATTTTAGCATAGTCAAGTGGAATCCTACTTGACCTCGCGATTCCCAAAATCCCTACATGGACCACAAATAAGAGTCCAAGCATCTTTCTCTTCTCAGCAGACCAAGTCCTACAACTCTTCAAAGCTTTTTCCAAGTCGTACCAGTTGGGCCCTACAGCTCCTTCAACATCCAACTCAGCCCAAAAATCTCTGTGATCAGCCTCCACTATATCATCATCTACAAATGGAGCACAATTGAGGCCGGTTATGTCTTCATATTCATGGAGGGAGAACCTAATGGGACTACCTTCAATCAAGGCCCAGATCTCATATTTCCTCTCAATTGCCAACTGCCGAGTTAAGATGTAATGGATAAGCTTTCCCCACCAAACATAATCAGAATCCGCTAGCTTCAATACAACTCCAACTTGTGAATGATCCCGGATGTCATTATACACATCTTCACCTATGCACTCTTTCATGAATCCAAAACTGGCCAGTGTGCAATTATGGTGCATGCTCTTTCTCAGGAGAGGAGATTTTCCTTCCGGATACAGCCTTGGAGGGTACCTCCTACCCTTCCCAACACTTGTAGATGCGTTTTCTGCAAATCCACAACAATTATAAGGTGAGAAACTCTTACAATTAATAACTAGGGCCTCATATGATAAATGTATTTATGTCAATGATCATACAAATCGATTTTATAACACTATAATATACATGCTCTAATTATATGTCAAATGCATTTACAATTTTTCCACTACCAAACAACTCTAATAATATTACTCTGTCTATATTCTTTATCCCACAGTCACATATCATTTCAATTGCACTTTAACAGAACCGATTTCCACTTAAATCAATGTCATTACCATAGCAAACACATAAAACCAATTCTACAAACATTCTACTATTTTCACTTATGTTTACTATGGTCAAGCTAACAAAACATTCCCTTTACTGTGCCAATCAACTCTTATTACTAACTCAGTCTATATTCTCTGTCACACACTCACATCTCATTTCAATACACTTTAACAGAACCGAGTTCCATTTCAATCAAAAACAAACAAACAAAATCAGTTTTACATCAAACTACTCAAACTTACACTTCTATATACACACTTATATTTAGCCGATTCTATTACCATTTATGCAAGCAAACTGATACTCTTAAATCAATGTCATTACAATAGCAAACACATAAAACCAAATCTACAAACATTCTACTATTTTCACTTATGTTTACTATGGTCAAGCTAACAAAACATTCCCATTTTACAATACCACACAACTCTTATTACTAACTCAGTCTTTATTCTTTGTCACACACTCACATCTCATTTCAATACACTTTAACAGAACCGATTTCCATTTCAATCAAATACAAACAAACCAAATCAGTTTTACATCAAACTACTCAAACTTACACTTCTATATACACACTTATATTTAGCCGATTCTATTACCATTTATGCAAGCCAACTGATACTCTTAAATCAATGTCATTACCATAACAAACACATAAAACCAATTCTACAAACATTCTACTATTTTCACTTATGTTTACTATGGTCAAGCTAACAAAACATTCCCATTTTACAATACCACACAACTCTTATTACTAACTCTGTCTATATTCTCTGTCACACACTCACATCTTATTTCAATTGCACTTTAATAGAACCGATTTCCATTTCAATCAAATAACCACCAAAGCAAATCAGTTTTACATCAAACTACTCCAAACTTACACTTCTAAATACACAATTATAAATACGACAAACATTTAAATAAATGTCATTACCATAGGAAACACATAAAACCATATCTACAACAATCATCTATTTTCACTTATGTTTTCTATGCAAAAACTAACATTCCTTTGCCATTTTAACTATGCCAAGAAACTCTATTTTCTTACTCTGACTATACTCTCACTCACACACAAATGTCATTTTCATTACACTTTAACCGAACCGATTTCCAATTAAATGCCAAACCAATAACCAAATCAAAATTTACATCAAACTACTATACCATAGACTTCTAAATAATTTCCTAACTCTATCATACAAAACACCAACCTGCCAAATTCGAATATAATTATCATTCACCACATTTGGTCTTATTAAAATAGATGATCAAAGTGTCATAACAAAGACAAGCATATCTAAAACCCAGAAATTATACATACAATCTCCTAGTATGATATATACACTTACCTGACATTGTTAATACTCGGTTCTCTTCAATCAACACCGCTTTGTGCCCAGAAATCTACCCTCTCCTCGCTGTCCTTTCAAATCCTTCAAATAAACATTCACACTTTATTTCTATTACATATTCGACCATACTTACAGCAAATAAACTCTACAAAACAATATAACCGGAACTTTAAACAAACCACAAACCTTCCACACTAGAGACGACTAAGAATACGAATCGTTGTCCGCCTCTAACCAACCGCCTTTCGTCTTCCCAAACAACGACGGTTATTAACCCGTGAATGAAACCCCGCCTACGATTGCCAGCCGCCCACGCCTCAACACCGTCGTCGATTCAAAACCTACAAACTACTTCCGTCACTTTTCTATTACTTCTCTTATATCTAATACTCTTTGAAAGAACAACCAAACAAATCTACTAGCTTCTTATCGGAAAATACCCAGAAACGCCGCCGTACCCACCGGAGATTCACGGACAGGATCTCGCCGGAATCGCCACTGAATCGCCGAGAGCGAAAAGTTGAAAAGGAAACCGACAGTAACAAATGTTATTAGGGTTAGATTTTTCTCTTTTAACTTTTTGTTTTTTTGGTTAAAAATTAAATAAATGGCACAAATGTAATAAACGGCAAAAACGGGTGGGTTTGGGACTTTTCGCATTTTTTTTGGGCTAGTTTAGTCGATCCAATTTTGTATGGGCCAAAACAGTTCGGATCCACTTTTTATGTGCTAGATAAATCTATTTTCTCTATAAAAAATGGTATATAAAAACTGTAAAAAGAAAAATTGAGTGGAAAACTTTTAATAAAAATTTGGTAAAGTTTTTGTGATCAATAAAAGTAAAAACTGTATTATTTGTACGGTTTTTCTTAATATAATATATATTATCAGATCTTATATATTCACATTAATTTTCAAATACTCTATATGCTTCACAAATGGTGTCAATTTAGAGTTTTATTTCTGTTTCACAAAAAGTGTCACTCTACATTTCCAATGCATCTTTTACATTAAATTTTTTAATTTTATCCTTAATCTAAAACTAATTAAACACATAAATCACTCATTAAACAGGGGCGTATGTGTATATTTTATTTTTTCGTAATTTGTGTGAAATGTGTCAAAATGACACTTTTTTGTGAAACAGAGGGAGTAATAATCATTCTCTAAATTTATTTTCCAATATTATTTTATTAACTATTTGTGTTTCTCTATAAAATTTATTTGTTTAACATTTGAATAACTAATTAGTATTTATATTTAGTAATTATTTATGGTTTGTAATTTTTAGTCATGTTTAAAAGTTTTATACTTTTCATAAATAAAATTTACTAAAAAAATATATCTGTTTTTTAATAAATATTCAGTAATTTATTTATGGTTTTTATTTATTAATGATATTTAATTTTTCAATATATTTTATCATAATAATATAGTTTTGATATATTTCTACCTTTTAATTATATTTATATTTGTTTTTGCACTTTTTGATTTAACCACTTTTCACCCTCTACTTAACCGGTTATAAAACTCCTGCAAATGCATCCATTTTTAAACATTAACTAATCGTTTAAAACGCTTAATAACGCTTGAAACCACAACCGCCCTCTTCCGCAAACTCCCATTAATCACAAATGCAACCGCTGTGTTTAAACTAGTCTGGCCTTTAGTGAACTAATTAAACATAAAAAGAAATCTTTAAATAGTAGACAAAAATATCTTTAAATAGCGCTAAAATATGTTTTATAGACAATTAAAGTACGCATTTTATAAATTTTAAAAAATAGCACTAATTGGTATATAATAAATTTAATAATTTTTAAATATTTTTATAGGTTTGGATTGAATATTTTAGTTTAAAAAGCTAAACTTTAAAATGACGACTAATCATATCTATCACACTTATATTACGTATGTCATAATAACATTTATAAATGCCCGAAATGTCAAATCATGCCAAATTCGATTCATTGCACTCGTACGAGTTTGGTAGATTGACGCCAAGTAACAACGTAGTGAGAACGTCAAATAAGCAAAAAAAATTAACACGTGTCGGAGATAAAACACAAGATAAAACCCATCTAGTATAAAGATTAGTCACTCAAGATCTCAAGCCACTATGAACCACACAACAATGGAGCACCGAAAGGTCAAAGGAAACGGCGTAGACATTCACATAGCGATCCAAGGCCCTTCCGATGGTCCTATAGTTCTCCTTCTCCATGGCTTCCCTGAGCTTTGGTACTCATGGCGTCACCAGATCCCTGGACTCGCCGCTCGTGGCTACAGAGCCGTGGCTCCTGACTTACGTGGTTACGGAGACTCCGATGCTCCGGATGAGATCTCTTCCTACACTTGCTTCAACATCGTAGGTGATATGATCGCTGTCATATCCGAGTTAACCGCGTCAGAGGATGAGAAGGTGTTTGTGGTTGGACATGACTGGGGAGCTCTCATCGCTTGGTACTTATGTCTCTTCCGACCAGATAAAGTCAAAGGTTTGGTTAACCTTAGTGTTCCTTTCTCTTTTCGTCCATCTGATCCTACCGTGAAGCCCGTTGATGGCATGCGTGCTTTCTACGGCGATGATTACTATGTTTGTAGGTTTCAGGTTTGTTCTTTATACTCTTTTTGCTAATTACTTGAAGTTGAAGGAATCTTTTAGTTATATAGGGTTTTGATGGTTGGAGTTTTAGGAAGTTGGAGGTATAGAAGCTGAGTTTGCAGAGGTTGGAACAGAGAGAGTTATGAAGAAGTTTCTCACTTATAGAACTCCTGGACCGCCTATTATACCGAAAGACAAAACCTTTTGGGGGTCCAAAGACGAATCTATACCTTTACCATCTTGGCTAACTGAGGAAGACGTTGCTTACTTCGTCAGCAAGTTTGACAAGAAAGGCTTCTCCGGTCCAGTCAATTACTACCGTAACTTTAACCGGTAAGGTTTTGAACAAGACAAAATGTTGTCCGGTCCCTATTGTTTAGGTAGAAGTGTGATAGAGTTTTGTAATGGCAGGAACAATGAGCTGTTAGGTCCATGGGTAGGAAGCAAAATCCAAGTGCCTACAAAGTTTGTGATAGGGGAGCTTGATCTGGTTTACTACATGCCTGGTGTGAAAGAATACATAAACGGTCCTAAGTTTAAGGAAGATGTGCCTCTGCTTGAAGAGCCTGTGGTCATGGAAGGAGTTGCTCACTTCATTAACCAAGAAAAGCCTCAAGAGATTCTCCAAATTATCCTTGATTTCATCTCCAAATTCTGATCTTTGATTTTCAAACTCTTTCAAGTTCCATAATATGTTGAATTATGAGAATAATGATGTTTCCCATTGAGGATGGCCTAAGGGGCTGTTTTTGTTTCCAGTTCCGTAAAAATTCAAACCTTAAAAACTATATTTTAAATCCAAACTATTTAAAATATATAGTTTACTTCAAACTTTAGTTACACTATAAACTTCATATCACATTTTATCGATTGCAGTGTATATATATCTTAAGACGCTATTTTTCAAATTTTATTTTCTAGTTCCAAAAAATTCAACCTTAGAAACTACATTTCTTACAAATACAACCAAACTATTAAACTATATGTTTACTCCAAAAAAAATTGACCTTAGAGCATCTCAAAGAGGAGATTATAGAAGAGTTCATATGAATTAAGTGAATTAATTTAAATAAAAAAGAAAGATTAAAGTAAGAGGCGTTTCACAAATAAGGAGTTTAAGGAGCGGTTCGTCGGGATGACGTGGCACATTCTAATTGGGTGTGAACTGTAGAGCTAAAAAAAAAAAATCAACACTGATCGACTTTCTCTCTCTCACGACATTTCTTCTTCTTCTTTGTTTTTTTCGGTGGGTGACTGAAAAGGCGATTTTGGCTCAGTAGATCAGCTCCGCCACCGCCGATGAACGATGGATGAGGGCTAGTTGTTCGCCGTTTCACCGTCTCAGCATCTCTACAGTGGTTGTAAAACGTCGGCTAAGTTGGGTTAAGTGGCGAGTTTGTTTCACGACATCGGATCAACTGAAGTCAAAATCGGATCCGAATTTGATTTAGCTTCTCCAATCTCTTCATGAATGTAAGAATCTAGTTAATATTCTTTCTCGATCTTGTTAAATTAGATGTTTAGAAGTACAAAATTAGGATTGATTGAGTTATGAAAATTAGGGTTTTGTAATTGTAATCGAAATTAAGATAAACTTATTCAATAAGCAGTCTCTGTTGTTGCAGTTAACCATGATTGAATACGAATTTTGGATTATTATTATGAGTTTTATTTTTAAGAACCCTAATGAGGTTCAATACTGGAGGAGTAAAACAAAAACCATTCATAAGAGTTCATAATAATTAATTAAATCAAAGTTAAGACCTTTCCAAGAAACTAAAAACCATACAAAGAGTGAGCTTTTATAAAATCTTTGATTGAAGTGGGTATAGTAAAAATGTCATAAAACTCCAACGAAGTTAGACTGAACTTTCATTTAAACCTGTAATGTAAACACAATATTCAAGAAAAAAAATAATAACCACTAGAATATCTCGAAAGACTAAAAAAAAATAGATGGGAGATACCATCTTGTAGAAGAAGTTGGTCCAACCAAACACAGAGATGGTCCAGTCTTTTTTCTTTGCTTTACCATCACACACCCAACAAAGACATCTCACACACTATCTCATCCCTTTCTTTATCTCCTTTTGAGGAGTTTTAAAGAAAAAAAAGTAAACACAAACACAAACAATTAAAGCTGCTTTCCCCTGTTTTGTTTTCTTGTTGCACTTCAATTCAATTACTAAGGTGTGACTGACCGTGGTGGTGTCCTTGATTCTCCAGGAGGAGTCTGACCTTCTGATCCTTTCGACGGGTCATCAGACGATTGTCTTAGCCCGTCATCGGTTGTCTCACTTCTGTTCACATCTTCAATCATTCTCAACACTTCTTGCATTACTGGTCTTTGATCAGGAACTGTTGATACACAAGTCATTGCTATTTGAAGTAGCTGAACCATTTCTTCCTCTATGTTGTGGTACCTCATTAGCTCAACGTCGAATACTTCAGCAGTCCATTCTTCCCGGACAACGGAAAGTACCCACCGGGGTAGATCAATCCCTTCTTCACCAAGTGAAGCCTGGTTTGGCGATTTACCTGTCAAGAGTTCGAGCAGTAATACCCCGAAACTGTATACATCCGATTTGAATGTTACTTTCCGTGTCTCGAGTACTTCAGGAGCATGATAACCCGCTAAACGGTTTGGTGGACTCGAGTTACTGAACAGTTGATTCAATCCATAGTCAGAGACACATGTGTCTTGGTTTGGATGTAGTAAAATGTTTGAGGCTTTGATGTTTCCATGTACCAATTTCGCCGAAACGTGAAGATGAGCCAAACCTCTCGCCGCAGTTATCGCTATTCTCATTCGGTTATCCCAATCTAACGGAGTTCGCCCTGATCCACGGCTCCCTAAAGTAAACACAGAGCTATTAGCCAGGGACATTGCAGTTTTTGAAGACCATAGTATTAGCTAGAAACATTATAACACTCATCATAACTTAAGGGTTACAGCTTAAACTTGTAAATACAGTTTCAGTAGATGAAAATATTCAAAATCATAAAAAGGTTCTGCAAAACACTTAAGTTCACTCAGCTAGACAAAAGTATACTTCAAGGAAAAGGGTTTTAAAGAGAGATATGATGAAAGAAGCTCCCATGTGAAAGAGTCTTTTTTTCTTTTTTCTTTTTCTTTATTCCCAATCTTTAAAGAGTGAGAGAGAAGCAAACATCATGAAATTTTATTATTATTATGACAATTACCAGACAGAAACACATATAATGTCGGCAACACACCTTTTCTTTTTTTAATAATTGCTTAACAACTACAGCTATATAACTACTACCACAATTCAACCAATATAATATCTAAAGAATGTAAAGCTGTGTAATAAGAATGTTTTTTCTTGACAGCAAAGCATATTCACATATGTATCCCTTACAAAAAATAATATTACCAAACCATCACTCCTTATTACTCTCACTAACATCTCATTCCATTACTATGGTCTATGCATAAGAACTCAAGAGCTAACCAAGATTCTTCTACACAATGTATCTAGCTCATGTTCTAGTATTTGCATTGACAATGAATTGAAACTAAAACTGATGCAAAGAGAGTTGTAAACGCACCGTGAAGAAGAGAAAATAAGCTTCCGGTAGGCATGAAATCGAAAACGAGAAGTTTCTCATCTTTAGAGTAATAATAAGCTCTCAATGGAATCACATTAGGATGTTTGATTTTACCAACAACTTCCATTTGTGTTTCGAACTCTTTCTTCGACGCCATTACATCTTTAAGCCGCTTAACAACAACCGTAGTACCTTCCTCTAAAACCGCCTTATACGAAGTTCCTACACTTCCTTTACCTAAAACTTCAGCTGAAGCTCTAAGCAAATCTTCCAAATCAAAACTATACACTCCTCCTTCAGTGAAAACAAGTTTATTCCTCTCTGTTTCGCCTCCCATACCGGAGGATGTCCCTGTAACTTCCTCTTTCGAGGACGAAGCACCAGGCGGGAGATCCACATTAGTCAATGTGGCTACTCCCGCGGGTTTCCTCTGCTTCGTCCTCGCATCTTTCCTTCCTCTTCTCTTTCTGATACACAAGAACAACAACAGAGCTAGCAGGAGAAGCGCGACTAGCCCACTAGCGACTGATATCGCGATAATCGCACCAGTGGAAAGCTTCGAATTCTTCCCGGACAATCGTTTAGAAGGACTAATCGAAGACGGAGACGGCGAAGGAGACACAAAGAAAGATTTACATGGCTTTAAAGGACCACCACAAAGATCTACATTCCCAGTAAACGATTCAGCAGAGAATCTTGACAACGAAGACGGAATCGAACCGTTAAGGTTGTTATTAGAGACATTGAAATCAACTAAACCGAGACTAATACTAGGAAGATTCCCTGAGAAACCATTGTTACCAAGAAACAAACCAGTCAAGTGAGTGAGATTATTGACTGAGAAAGGAATCGAACCAGTGAAGTTGTTAGATGAGATATCAAGACGAATCAAGTTATCTAACTGAGTAACACTCGCCGGAAACTCGCCGGAGAATTCGTTATGTTGAAGATATAAGCTTCGGAGGTGAGTGAGATTCGAGAAATCTGAAGGGATCTGACCAGAGAGAAGATTAGAACGAAGACTTAGAACTCTGAGTTGAGTGAGTCGACCTAAGGATCCTGGTGGGATCTGACCAACTAAACCGGTTCCTGGTAACCGGAGAGAGTGGATTGAGGATTGGTCTGCGTTGCATTCAACTCCGACCCAGTTACAAGCTGAGTCTGACTCGTTCCATTGAAGACGGTTCTCGTGTGGTGTTTGTTTAAGGAAAGTGAGTAGAGCTTGTTTCTCTGAGATTGACTCTGAGTTGACTCGATGAGTCAATAGCAAAATCGAGAGTAGAGAATTCAAAACCAAAACCCATGCCATTTTTTTTATTTTTTTTTGTGTGTGGAGAAAAACAGTAAGGAAAGAGAAAGAACAAAAAACACAACTTGTTTCTCGTTTTGTCTGTTTATTACAAGAAGTGGGTTTGATGAAAACCAGAAGTGGTTTTCCGGCAAGAACTCATTTTGGTTTTCTTGTGGGAGAGAGAACTTGGAGAGGGAGAAGAGAGAGAGAGAGAGAGAGAGGAGTGTGTGTGTGGAGGTGTGGGGATCGTGAGGTCTTTTATGAAGAGAAGGAGAACGAATCAAATCTATCACGAGGGACAAATATGATAAAAACAAAATATTTTTTTTTGGGCTCAAAAAGAAATTAAATGAAAATTTAGTTTCCTTTAGTTTCCGTAGAAATATCGATCGATATTTTTTCGACATTAAAGCTATTAAATTACTTAGCTGGCTGGGAAAAAAACAGAATATTTTTTTGCCTATGATGATATTTGTTGAAATATTTTGTTTTAAATTTATTATTTTTGGAGAATATTTTGTCAGATGTTCAAACTAAAACTGAACACAAACTGAACAAGACACCATTTGAGTTGAGTTGAGTGTTTCTTGTTCAGTTTGAGTTATGGTCTCTGACCAATGATGTGTTATGTTCTTTTAAAGCTTGAATCAATTTGTGTTATGTTCTCTGATCAGTGAATCAGTTGAGTGTGTCTTGTTCAGTTTGTGTTATGTTATGAAGACCATTGAATCGGTTATTTGAATCTTTTTGGTTTGTTATTAAATAAAAGGTAACTTTGGTTATTGTTTCTTTTTCAGCTTGCATACATTTGTGATTTTTTGGATGAAGCATTGACATGAAATGTTAGGAAGCAAGAGTCAACTGAATTTGTATTTTGAGTGACTGTCAAGCTATGTATAGTATGCATATTTGAAAAGTTTAAAA